CTGCCACTCAGACCAAGTTACATGATTTGCGGGGGAAATTGGAGCAGGAGGTAGTTCTCTCCCTTTTAGCTGATTTGTAATTAGACTGAAATATGTTTTTTTAGTCCTTGCAAATGTAGAGTTATTTTTCTTTCATTTTAAGCACCTCACAGGTCCGTTTGTCCTTTCACTGTACTTTTTCCAAAAATGCTTATGATTTTGTACATAGAGCCCAAGAGGCATCGATTGAAAGTGAGAATAAGCAGCTCCGCTTTTCCCTACCCCTTCTAATTGTCACATATGGATTACAAAAAGCTGACTACAGATGTCCAGAGTTTTTTTAGTCATGTTGGTTGTTTTTCTGTAACATATGTTGATTGTTGAGAAATGGTTAAAGAGAAAACAATGTAAAATAGAGGTAGAAATACCAAAAAATAATAATTTTAACAAAGACAGTGACCTAAAACAAAAATATTATATTTTCTTGGGTGAAAAGCATTTACATGCCTTGTTATAATGCATCATTTATGGTCTCTTTCCCTCTAATCATGTAATGGCACGTTGAATTACATTGCTATGTGATATTTTTTTTTATTGGTAGAATGTGAGCTCTTTGACTATCCTTGTGATGGGTAAAGACGGTGTTGGAAAATCTTCAACTTTTGAATTCAATCATAAGGGAAAGAGTAGTTACTGCTGGAGCTTTCCAGTATCTACTTATCATTTTCTTTAAAAAAAAAAAGCTGAGAGACTTTATATGCCCCTGTTTGGCTGTAATGATAGGAGCTCCAAGACCTATAATTTTCAGATGGGAGCTTCAAGACCTATAATGGTATCACGTTCACGGGCAGGATTTACATTAAACATTATTGATGCTGTCTAGAAGCAGGTACTAATCAAATTAATCGGTTATGTTAACATAAAATTAGATGATATTTTTGAGGTTTAATTTTATTTGATTGCAGCATCATGAGCACATCTGACAGATCACCGAATGAGCTAAGTTTAAGATTTCCTTAAGTTATTTTTATTACAAGTACTTATTATAACAGGTTAGTGTTTTAAAGTTTGTTTTTTAATTTGTTTTATTTGAGGTTTCAGGAGAGGTACTCAAATTTCAGAATACTTTATAAATGATGAATGTACCTTTTTAATGTCTTTGACCTTCATGGTCTGATGTTTTGACATCTGTATGTGTATGCCTGATTGGATAAACGATAAAATGTTTGGGTAAACAATTTGAAGTAACCTAATATTGGAAGGAAGGTTGCTAGTAAAGTGTTTGAGAAAAGTCCTCAATGAATTAATGGTCATTTTTAGTTTATCAAAACAATAATTTTGAAGTGGGGCCAATTCTATGAACCAATTTATCTTTCTCTGCTTTTTTGAAAGCACAGGCCATGTACTCTAGATCATAAGACTTTTATGTCATGGAATCTCTGCAACGTAGCCTCCGTGTTGAAATTGTAGGATTATATGGATGAGATTAAACTGTATATCAAGGTATCATTGATATTCAAATGTGCGCTTCTTAGCTTATGGCTTCTGCTACTCGCCCTTTGACGGGTAAGTTTATTTTACTAAAAATTTCAGATCTTCAGATCTGAACCTTCAGCGTGCAAGTAGCAGGCTGCTGCTAGTTTACTTGTGTAGTTGTGTTATGTTTTTGTAAATTTTTTTTATTTTTTTATTTAGAATTTTGGGAGCAGCGTGTTGTGTTTGTAATTCCATTCTTTGCTTAGTTATTTTATTTTGTAGTTTAGAATTGAAATTTTACTTATTTATAGTAGAGATGTACTAAGTTGAACTTGTGTGAGATTACTGTAATGTCCACTTTGCAGGTGAAGTATGATAGAAGCAAGTGAGGTTTCAAACGATGAAGTTGGTAGCATAAGAACTGGTTTCATTCTGTGCAAGTCTGCAAAAGAAGATATGTGAAGACCCTAGGAAGTGTAGTGTAAAAGTTAGACTTGTTAGCGTTTTGTTGTTGTATATTAGTTGTTGTTTCGTGGTGTGCCCTCATGAATTATGTAGTATGTACATTCACATTTATGTGAGAAATTGAAATATAAATAAAAATCTTTGAATTTTGGTTATTTATTAGTATTAAATTATATCACATATATATATATATTGAAATATATATATTATGATACTAATGTATCATATATTTTTATGATACCAGGGTGTCAAAAAAAGTTATGATATTATAACGTCATAATTTTATGTGATATTTTATTGTCATAATTTTGTGACACTAATCTGTTTAGCAATCAGTGACACTAAATTTTGTGTCACTTGCCCCGCTTTTCTGTGACACTTTCAGTGTGTCACTAAATCGTTTAGTGACACTAGTTTAGTGTCACTATAAGCCATTTTTTTACTAGTGAACTACACTAGGCCTACTCCTAATGTAACTTGACTTCATAAAGTCCACCTTAAAAATATCCTTTAAGGTTATTTAACTCCAATATCTTGGGATTAGCTCCCAAGAACTATTGAACTTACATTCCCGACTAGTATCTCTATACTAGTTGTTTAATCTTAATAAACCAATGCAATTTCATAATAATTCGTATATTTCAACTAAATTTCACATTCAAGTATAATTTGGCTCTATTATCAAAATATCACTTTTATCCTCCCATGACTTCCTTACATGAGGTAAAAGTATATTTATCACCATTTAATTTGTAGTTTATACAACTATTATGCCATTGTATTCATAACACATAATCATACACAATTTATTCATAAATTTGTATATTATGCATTTTTGCTTATAAACAATAATGATCTCATTTAGGCATTTTTTTAGTCATTAATAAATCATGCCAAACACATATAATTCATTTAGGAAATCTTATGAAATCAACCCAATAATTATAAGCAATATAGTCGGTCATCCTCACCTTAAGTGAGCTTGAGCGCGTTCTACGCTTCCCGATTAATCAATACAAATAACCTCTAAAAGGTTATTTTCCGGTGAATTTGTCGGTTTGGTTCCTAAGTCCGTTTTTGGACTTAGAACCACCTTCCAACCCGTCATTCTACACTTAAGCCATGTAGAACAATCCTCAAGGTTCTTCATATGATATATATCTCATATGGTAGAAGAAAAGTAAAGGAGAAACTAATATAAGGTTATTACCTTAATCCTTCACACTTTCTCCCAACTTTTCCCTTCTTAAAAACCCCTTCTTTGGACTCCTTAAGCTTGAGTTCAGTTCTTGGCTATGGAGGATGAGGTTGCAAGAGCTATCCTTCTCTCTTGGGTCTCTTTGGCCGAAATAATGGGAGAGGGTGAGTGAGGGGATAGCCTATTTGGCTTTTCTCTCAAAATAATGTGTAAATGGACCCCCTCATGGTACCTTGATAGCTTCCTCCCACCTCCCTCTTGTCTCACAGCTCAAGTGTGACACAAATCAGCCCCCTTTGGCTGCCAAATTCGTGGGTTGGCCCCCACCCATGTGGGAGGTCAACCCTTTTTGTCCAGAAGTGTACAATTGGTCCCGAAAGCTGTATTTTTTCGGACTGTTTTAATTATATTTTATTTTATCGGGTAAGATAAAATATATTATGTGTTATCCATCATTATGACCCTCATGATGAATATTCATTCCACAACTTTAATTTATAAGTCCCCGAAATTCAATTTCGGGCTTTTATCGGTTAAATTGTCAATACCGGTATTTGGGCCTCTTTTGACCAATCGGTCAACTCTGGACCTTCCCATGGCTCAAATGAGATATCCACCACCATATAAATATTATCTAGACCAAGATGAATAAAATATGTGGTCCCGGAAATATCGGGCGGCCCCCGCTCCCGGTGTGGGCCCCACGTGCGAATTTACTACTCACGCAAAAGAATTAATAAAAATTCATAACATCGTAAACTCGTTACCCAATCCATAAGGTTAAATACAATATTATTCACTTAAGAGTAAATGCATTTGGGGACGGTGTTACATTTTCCATAGGGTGTCCACACCATGTTTATGAATTGATTTGTCTCTGATATCATGTTCAGATATGGAGTTCCATTCTAAAAGTCAACTTGATAGGGGTAATAGCCCAGATCTTAATATATCACTTTATTATTTCACAACTTCTCGATGTGGGACTTCAACAAAAGTGTATATATAACATTGGTATGGAGTATAACTATTACAAACACATTCAATTGAGAAAATAATTCGCAATATAATGCTTATTAATTTGGAATTAGTTCAATTTAATAATCTTACCGCAGACAATGCACAAGACTGAATATAAAACATCAGTTTCATAATACTATGTATTATATATAATACAAAGTATGTAGTGTATAGTATTAATACGAAAAGATATATGTTTCAATTAATTTGATAAATCATAAAAAATGTGTATACGTACATTCCTGGTTATTATAAGAAGTACGTAGTATATTAATACAAAAAGATATATGTTTCAATTAATTTGATAAATCATAAAAAATGTGTATACATTCCTTTTTGGTTATTATAGAGAAAGAGATCAAAAATCACATAAGAAACCATGCACAATAGACCTATTGTTTAAAATAAACAAAAACAAAATGATGTCATCGTGGGATTGGTGTATATATAGCGTTTCCGAAGTATCATTTGCATATCATGTCATTAATATAATACACTTGATACCACAATTATTCCATCGAGTATCATCGAATAAAATTCAAACTCATAATTCGTAGTCAAATATTCTTAAATTTTAGTTCTTACTTTAGTTTTCGAAACGGTTTAATTCAGAGTCATATATAATGCACATAATACTACGTATATATTACATATCAAAATAAAATTGTATTTATAATGCAAACACATTCAGCAGATGAAATTAATCTTATATTGGAAAATAATTAAAAAGAATATCATATCATGCACATGAAAAAATATGCACCAAAATCAATATAGATGGTTGAAGTTGTTTTATAGAGAAAAGTTAGAATTAGATTAAATTAAATCTAGTTCTTGCATATTACTTATCACTTACGCAAATGAAGAATATATAGTTTTTAGAATTTGATATAATATTTAAACCGCGGTGGAAGATAACACATGCAGTTTAGCTAAAAAAACAATACATATATGTATAACTTGATAATATAAAATAAGAAATTGAATAAATATCCTAGTTTGAATTTGGATGATATAATCCAAGTAGCAATTGATGTTCAGGTTTTCAAATAATACATATGTATCGTGCATGGTTTAAGCGTTTCACTATACCACACAAGACTTCACATCATCCTTACTACATAATAGTTCACCATTCAGCTTGTCAGCTGCTTGAAAAGCTCCTCCGCCTTCACTCCTCTGCATCAATTTACATGTCAACATCTCAACTTTAATGGAATAGTTTTATTTAATATTATATATAGAAAAAAAATCACTATGTATATACTACGTATTATATAAACTTAGAGGATGGATTAAATGCAACCTATGTACATAATATTTATATTAGTCACTTTATTTTAATGACTATAATTGGGAAAAGTGAAATAGATCACCCTCAAAGTGCATCAAAATGGGGAAAAATCACTTTAATTTTAATGACTATAATGGGGAAAAGTGAAATAGATCACCCTCAAAGTGCATCAAAATGGGGAAAAAATGAGCGGTTTTCAGTTTTCACGTTAAGAATAGTTTTTATTTGATCCGAAACCCCTCTCTATATATATAAATACATATATGGAAAAGTAATAACACGGTGAAATTTCTCTCTTTCTTCCACGATCTTCTATATTTGTGCTTACTATTTATCAACATGTCAATACAATGTAACGTAATTATTCTAAATGGGACTAAAACATAGTCAAAACTCCAAAATAGGACCTTAACTTTATTATTTTCTAAATGGGACTCCAGATTACTTACTTACCCCTGCATCATTAAATCTACCCAGCTCCTTCCTCCACCTGCGATTAAAATCTTCTTCGCCTCTGCTGCAGCTCCTCCGCCAACAATTGCAGCCGCAATCCCGCCGACGCCAGCGGAGACAGGTAATCTTCTCCAGCTTCTTCTTTGTTCTTCCTCCTCCTCTCTTCTTCTTCTTCCTCCCCCCCCCCCTCTCCCCCTCCTTCTTCAATTCTTCTTCATTCTTCTTCTCATCCTCTTCCTAAGTTCCTAGTACTCTGTTTTTTTCTTTAGTTATCTTGATTTATGCTAATTTTTTGTTTACTTTTTTGGTTAAATAGAAAACCGATTTCTGATTTGTGAACATTTAGATGAAAAATTAGGTTGCAATGCTCCATCCATTGTGGATTTCAGTTTTATTTATTTATTTACCAATTTTGATTCATTATGAATCTGACAAAATTAATAGTACTTAATAAGAAAAATGTCACTTTTATGGTATTACATTTGTAAAGATGATAATGTTGCTTTGAAATTACAAAAATGTCATGTTTTTGCCAGTTTCACATAAATGTCACATTTTGAATCACAAAATGTCATATGACATTTCCAAATACTGTAATGTCATAAAAGTGACATTTTTAAAAAATAACCAATAATGACACAATAATGTCAATTTCGTATAGAAACATGACACTCAATATGACATTTCCAAATATTGTAATGACACAAAAGTGACAATTTTTAAAAAATACCCAATAATTATGACATTCTGTTATTAAAAAAGTGACATTTTGGAATCATTAGTCAGGGCATTTTGAGATTCAAATTAATCAAAATTGATAACAAGAATTTCAAGTTTTGATATATCAAAACTTGAAATTCAAATTTTTTTATTGATAAAAATTAAAAAAAAAACAGAGAACTAGGAAGAAGAAGATGAAGAAGAAAAAGCAGAGAACTAGGAAGAAGAAGAAGATGAAGAAGATGAAGAAGAAAAAGCACAAGAAGAGCATAAGAAAAAGATGCAGCAGAAGACCAGCTCTAGCGAAGCAGCTAGCGAATAGATGCAGCACGAACTAAGAGGGCTGTTTTGTCCAAATACAAATAATTAGTCCTATTAAGGGGAATTTAAAACATTATGTCCTATTTTTACAATTCAACCTTCTTTTAGTCCTATTTAGGTAAATCTCTCTACAATGTATGTACGTATGTCTATACGTTGTAATTGAAAATTAAAACTGTGGAGAAAAATTATAAAAAACAGAGAAACCAATATAAATAAGGAGATAGATGCTCTAATATTTTAGGATTTTTTTTTCATAAATTGGTTTTCCTTCTACTTTTAATATTCTTTTTATGGGATCACAAAAATCATCTTACCTTGTAAAAATCAACCGCCAAGAAATTAGCCCAACGATTACCCGCTGCAGCACAACATGTAGCCACCATGTCCAATAGTTGCCCTGAGTTTTGAACACATGCTACTGGTTCGAAAGGTGTTGATCCAAAGAAGTTTATCAAAATCAGTGATTTAGTAGTGTCCGTTAGAGCCGATGACTCGGCCCGGTTCGTGCATTCTCCGTCCTTCATTCCATCATCTCCATCTGCATAGCATGGACCAGATCTTATTTTACTTGCATAAGAATTCAGTAAATATGAGATTGGCGAAATATTGATAAGATAAAAAAAAATGTACTAGTAATCAGTTCTTGTACTAGTGGAGAGCTCATGCATAATATTTGAAGGAGGGTAATGTATATACTCATACATTGATTTTCGACCATGTAGTTCCATTGATATGCAATTCCTTCACTTTGTTCCTTAGATTTCACGGAAGTGAAGAGGAGAAGCCTATGGTTGTTAGCAACCATGTCACTAACAAGAGGCCAATCTTCACCATTTTTTGGCATATTTGATACAGGAAACATGTATTTCATTAATCCAGCATCTGTGAAAATCTTTGTCAATCCATTTGTCGCATGAACGTAATCCTCCAAAATTATCGTAATGATTTCCGATGGATTTGCTGATAAGAAAGCTTCTATTTCCTTCAATGTGTCTAATGCTGGTTCCTTGGAAATATATATAATTTAACGAACAATATAATTAAACAATTAAGCATTGTACATACACGGTTAATTAGTGGCAATATACAACAATCCATAGCTGGTGTGTTGTACTTAATGATCGATATTGGAGTTAAGAATGAAAATGAGTATTTGCGGATTAAAGAAAAAAGTCGGCTATGTTTTATTTCCGTAATAAATATATATAATTGTGGTTATGTTTTGGCATTATCGGGGTACTATTTTTCAATCTTGACAGTAATTATCCTATTTAGAGATAAAAGTTAATTAGTAATCCTGTTTTTGAATTTCAAAACATTCTTACTCTTATTTTGTGAAATTTCGTAAATTGTGTAACATGTAATTATCTAAACACATAATTATCTCAAAGTATTCATGATACTTACGACGGTAGAACTGGGGATAGACATATTTAGTTTAAGAGTTACAAGTATTTTCTGTCTTTTGTTTTTGGGATGTGTGGGAGTTTTAGCTACTTTTTCTTTGTCAATGTTAAGATATGATATGATCGATGATGTAGACAATGTATTTTACATTGTGACAAAGAATAACGTAACTAAAAATATCTGTAAAAAATGCTAAAAATCAACCGACTGTTAAAATGAAAGAGAGAGATCAGAGAGAGATAATCAATACACGCACAAGTTCTCATATATATGATGCATATTATTTTCACCCCTACCTAATAAAAAAAATTCGCCCCCTTGACTCAAAATCCTGGATCCGTCCCTGAGTAATACATTGTGAGGTATATGCAAAAAAAAGTTTGGCGTACTTCAAAAATCGAATTTGCTTGATAAAATGAAAATCAAATAACGCCCTTGCAAAATTGTCACACACCCACAGCCTCACTTCTAATTACGGAGTATAAACGAAGGACCAATTTTATAAAGTTGTCAACGATTTGATATTATTTTTGTAAATTTCTTTACTGCGGATTATTTTTGTTAAACACGTCAGAGTATGAATCGTGATTGCCAATTTAATTTACCAATATCAAATACTTACAAATGCAGTATAGTCGTGGCAGTGTCCTCCGAATGAGTGGCACAACCAAACGTCATTGTGAAAATCGTACACGTCAAGCATTAGCCCACGAACTCCATTCTACATATAAATTAAATCCATCTTCATTAAACAATTAGGGAGTATTATAATGAAGCACTTTACGAAGCTAACAAATGTGTACTGATTTTTTTGGCTAATTTTATTTTCATAACAATTCATTTGTTTACACCATTTTAATTAATTTATATATAGCACTCACTCACTCGTAGACAAAAAAGCAACTACCCACCAATTGGGTTTATTAAATAAAAAACTTACATGATGACAAAATTAGTTAAAAAATGAAGCAGGATTATTACATATCTCGTATGGATCGGACCATTTTTAGTGTATACATAAATTGTGCACATTTTTGTACACCCTTTAATTGTCTATTGTTCAATGGTAATTACGAATGTACAAAATGTATACAACTTATGTGCACCAACATTTTTTTCATCTAGTATATATTACAATTATTGAAGTTTGGCGTGAACTAACTAACAGTCCAAGTAAAAACATTACATGTAAAATTAGGAAATTTAGGTTGAGATTGGAATAAAGCGTACATTGAGCTGCTGAGCCACTCTATCTACTTGATTTCTAGGAGCAATATTGGGCACACCGGTATGAGATGGCTCGCCAGTAATTGCGAATGCGTTGTGGGTAGTCAAGAACGCATATTTGTTGAACGGAAGGGAGTTATTCTGCATGTCCATAACATAAAAACGAACAATTAATATGCTTTTCTTCTAACATATATAACACATCCAATAATTGATCACCATATTTTCTTGTCTTCATTACGCTACTAATAAATTACTTACGCTTTTGAGCTTAAATTATTACAATTAATGTTTTCTAATTTCTATGAAAAAAATATGGAAAGAAAAATAACAAGAACTACAAATTAAGGGCCCATTTGGTAACAATGTTTTTCGGTTTATCAGTCAATATTTATTTTCGTCAAAAATGTAGATTTTGATTTCTCGCGCTGAATTATGTAATAATAAAAAAGTAAAGTTGAAGTTACTTTTCATGAGTTTTTGTTGAAGTTACTATAGAGGATCATTTTAGCTATTTTTCACATAAGTTTTTTTTATTTTATTAATAAAATATACTTGTATGTTTCATATTTTTTTCAAAAGTCAGTAGAATCAGTCAATAACAGCTACTTCAGCGAGAACTTAATAAATTTCAGCAGAATAATCCGATTCAGCCAATTTTAATGAGTATTATGCAATGAAGCCAATGAGCTCTAAAAGTGAAAGTAATAAAGTTTTTAGGGCAACTAAAAATGGAGAGATGATAAAGTTTTAAGGGCTATGGATATGTGTTAGGTCGTTCTTACAAGTAGCTTGAACTGATCTGTAGCGGTGGATCTAACACATTTGGAGCCTGAAAATCCCAAAGGGCATGACAAGCAATAGTTCCCTGCCCCACAATCTCCATCAGACGAACAGTCCTGAAAAGTGAAAACCCACGAAAGCCATTCCAGAAAATGAACACACAAACAATTTGCTAATTAATTATATACGTAGTATTCTGCAAATAAATAATTAAAGGAAAGCTAATATATATATCAAATACGGAGCATATATAAATATAAATAAATACCTGAGATATTTGAGATATTGCGTTCTTGACGGATAACACTGAAAAGATGAGTATTAAATCAATAATCTTGTAAAACCCCATCATTTATTATGCATAAAAATGAAAATTAAGGATAACAGGATGGGGTTTTATAATTTGATCGGCAATTAAACAAGCAAAGGAGTAGTATGTATTTATAGGGAGGGTCTTATTATTATTATGTAGATAACAGTTGAGGAAACTAAATGGAATGTGCAGTTGGATGATGGAAGTGCGTATGTGGCACAGAATGACAAGAATGTGGCTGAGACTTTTGCGGGGTGGTATACCTATTTATATGTCTCTTTTCAATATTTCCTTATTTTGGAGAACGTTTTTAATTGATTGAATTAATGTTAGTATTAGGATGTTTTTACTTGGATAGTTCAGTCTCAGACTGCAAATCAGACCAGACTTACACAGATCAGATCAGATAAGGCCAAACTTCCGTAGTTAATTATAAAATGCATAGAGACCAGACATTTATTAGATCACACCGGATCGGACCAGTTCAAAACAGACCATTCCGGTCACCGGACTAACTTAAACAGACTAGACATCAAATTACAGTCCAAGTAAAAATATTCTTAGATCACATAGACATATAATCGACAATAGTATAGCAAAATATATGTAAAACAATATGTAAGACAATAGTCCATACCTGGCTCAAATTAAACAAATCAAATCAGATAACAAAATGAAATTTGTCCCCAATTAAAAATATCATGAATACCAACCCTTGTTAGTATCCACGCTGACAAGGTACTGATATGATACATTAAAACTACCTTATAATTTGTCTTTTCGTAGTTGTTAATTGTCAATAAGCTAGGTTTTTTTAGAAAAGGAAATTTAATGAATGAGCAAATTAAAAGAGAGTACATATATAAGTAATAAAAAATGAAATGAAATGAAGTCAATGTATTCATTGATTTGTGAGCTTACGTTGTGGAAGCTTAATTAACCATAGCATGTTATGTATAGTAGTCACACATTCAAGACTGAAAAAGACGTCATTATGAATTTGATCTGGCCAGACTACCATTGGCGTGCATGTAAATTAGAAGGAAAAATTGATAGTAATAATTCCAACTATTGGCGGTCCGCTCATAATAATCCCAACTATCGATTATCTCAGAATAATCCCAACTTTAGATACCTTCCGCCAATAATGATCCGACGTGACCGAATATAAATAAATTTCTATAGTTTCTAAAGTGGATGAGAAGAGATATAACAGGTAATCCCTATAAATAATCCCAAATTTTAATTTTCACCCTTAATTTTTACTCTTAATATCCGGGCATGGACCATTATTAGCGAAGGGTCCATATAATTGGGATTATACAAAAATAATTAATAGTTGTGATTATTGTTAGCGGACTGGTAATAGTTGAGATTATTATTTTCAATTTTTCCAAATTAGAAATGATGTTGTTTGCTTCAACAACTTTCAAGATTAACTCATACAATAATATTGTTTTAGGTAAACTATGGCACCTAAATGGCTACAAATCTTAAATTCAAAAATGTGAAATTAAAAACCTACAAGACAAATTAAGAAATAAACAAAAAATACATATGATTAATTTTATTTCTAATTACGACATGTGCGTGAAATAGAACGTAATTAATTAATACTCCGTTATAACGTCAATATATACTATGTTTGGGTCGTTTGGTAAGCAAATTAAATTAAGGCGTATAGAGTTAGATTTTTCGTAAATGGAGATTAAAATTTTGACTTTATATACTATGTATATGATAAATTTGATATGGCTTTAATTTGATTGAGTATAACGTTAGCTATCAAGAGCAAAACCGTAAATATAATTTCAATTCAAACATTAATAAGAAGTTTTCTATCATATTATGCAGCGTTTTTGCCATTTAGCTATCAGCAGTTTACGGTTAGCAATACCGGATTAGGGTCTTATTTGGTAAATGACTTATGTCTTATGAGCTACGGGGTATTTTTTTTAGCTTGTTTGACCAATTTTGGATGATTTGAATTATTGACCAGTTAATAGTTGGCAGAATAAATCGGCGGGTTGTCAGAAGATGTTTAGTAATTTAGATGTTTGGCCATAAAATTAATAAAAATGTCATATTTCAAAACGCTAATCCAAAACTCTACTCTTATTTGCAGCATTTCCATTCAGCGTTTCCGTCCAAAAACGCTAGTGTCGAACAACTATTTATCAAATAACTTTTTCACTTATTGAAAACGCTAAAAGTGATCAAATAGTCATTTTTCGGCTGAAATGCCATTTACCAAACACCCACTATGTAGTCCTAATAACTTCATAGTCATTTGTTGATATAACTATCTAATACCGCACTATTTGTTCTTTATTACTATGTAGGACCAATACGGGGCATATTTATAAACATTAAAAATTATGGGGGTGTATTTATAAATATCACGAGTAAAAATCATGAGGGTGTATTTATAAATATCAAAAATTACAAGATTTTTTTTGAAAATATATACATGTATTATCCTCTGACCTCTGTCCATTCATGACATTGAAACATATCACATTATCAGGATAGTTAAAAATAAATTTATTTTTTATCTCATATACATACACTAGTGCATCTCAAAATATAATTAAATATAATCAATAAATCATTAATTTAAAATGAAAAATGAGTCAAACAACCACAATTTTGAAATTAAAAGAGCAAGTACTCAAAGTTATCGAATAATGGAGATAGAAAACAATATTCTTATAAAAAAAACTAAAAGTGCTAATACATATTTCCACTCCTATTAATTTCTAAGCATAACATCGTCTTTAAAAATGGCAACCTTTAATTCTGGTGTATTTATTGAAAGGTTGGCGAACTCAAGTAATCATATATCCTCTGTGCTCCCAAAGTCATCTCTATCAACACCCCATATTTTACTTGTCGTCCATATATTGAGTTAACTGTGTGTTCTCACATTATTACGTTAAACATTGTCTCATTGATGAATTGGAACCCAGTAGAATATGACATTGGTTTAAGACTTAGGAGCTGAGACTTATTGCATAAAAAGGAATAATGGTTTTGTGATGTTTAATTTACTTTTATTAGATAATTAGTACTCGATTTTGTAAAATATCTAAAAATATTAAATACGCATACAATGGTTAAATAATTTTTAGATAGTGTAAACTAAATCGAGAATATAAATATTTATTTGACATGAGAATTACACAATTTTCAAATAATGTTCAGTAGATATGAAGCATTCAAGCCCTGTCGGAAAAGAATTTGTTGATGGAGGGCATGATTTGTGGCGGACGAGTGCGAAGAAATTGGCGGAAACCATGCTCTGCGTACTTTTTCCCTTCCTCCTGGTTCTCCAGCACCCCCTTTGCTCGGTGAGCTTTGTTCACCCTACAAATACAAATTTCGATTTCCACAATTAATTACCTTTAAATGACTCCAATTAAGTCCAAACAAATTTCCGCAAATATTAATGATTGTCATTTCAAAATTCGAACACATTACCATAGAGAAATTGGTTTATTTGGTCTCATAACTTATACTATCGTATATGTTTGTTATGTTATGTAATTTATACCCACGTGTCATTAGCAAACAATGGCTTTTCCTACGACTTTTGATGGATTAGGATGGAAAAATACATAATTTAATGTGAGCACACATTAACTGTGAGAATGGATATAAAAGTGAGTAAAATTACAAGAAAAATAATGGACATGAGCAAAAATTGTGTGAAGGAAAGACTTTAAGTATGACATTGTGTGCAGTGGCGGACCCACTAAGGGTCCCATGGGGTCCCGGGACCCCGTAGGCATCGAAAAATTTACCTATATGTATTACATATATTTTTTACAAAATTAAGTAGTAAATGTATATATAAAGAATATGTGAAACCAATATCGACCGGTTGCAGCAGAGGAATGGAGGCGTGCGTGAGATGAGAGCCTAATGACCTGTGAGGTACAAGGTTCGACTCCCCTCTTTCGCCCGATTTTTTAAAACACCGAAATGATGTTGTTTTTGGTCCATTTTTTTGAACTCCTACCAGCCGTGGGCCTGTGGACCTCAACCTCAACCTCAACCACTTCTTATCAATTCATTTTCTTTATAATTATTTACAAAATTTCTTTGAATGTTAAGATTAAATTAATAGATTATGTATTTGTGATTTTTTCTCTAGAAAGTTTACGATTTAGGATGAAAAGATATTTCGGTAGTGTAATCAGATTTAAAGAAATTTAAATCTGATTAGTTTAGATATTACTCCGTAATTCAAATGATTCGCCTTTAGTAAATAAAGAATTGGATCAAGTACTTGCTAAAAGTGAAACTAATTTAACTTATAATCTACATGAACAACATGTTGATTTGATCCCAGTGTTCAAGATGAGGTACGCCGTAGTTACCTTCAAGAAGGGTCATTTCAACCTCAGGAGCATGATTTCCATTTTTAAAGTAATTGACGGTTAAAAACGTAGATTTGTTTCAAGTTGGTTTGATTAGCATAAATGATTGGAATACACTATTGGCAAAGATGCAACATTTTGTTTACCATGTTATTTATTTAAGAATGAGTGGGAAGTTTGTGGTAATGATTTTTTGAGAATATGATTTTCAACATGGAATAAAAAAGACAGGTTTTGTGTACCTGGTGATGCACGTTAACTATGAAACATTATGCTTCTTAATATTTTTCTTTAATTTTATACTCCCTCCGGTTTTTAATAAACTTCACACTTTCTTTGTTGGGACGGTCTAAAATAAACTTCACACTTCCTTATTTCCTATTTTGGCAAAGAAATCTACATCAAAACAGTGTCAAACAGTGTCTCAACAGTGCCAAACAGTGTCTCTACAGTGCCAAACAGTGTACTCTACAGTAAAGTCAAATTTCTTTCCTTATTTTGTGTGAAGTCAAAGTGTGAAGATTAAATAAAACCGGAGGAAGTATTAATGAGAGTTACATTCGTTTAAGGACCCCATGACCCTAATTTTCTGGGTCCGCCACTGATTGTGTGTCAAGTGTATTTTTGTGGCTTGTTTGATCGATTTGCATTTCCTAAAAAGGAAAAAATATATAGCACACGTCTATTTGCGAAAAAAATAATTGTCATTTCAAAAATTCGAACACATTATCATAGAAAAATTGGTTGATTAGGTCTCATAACTTATACTTCGTACTATCGTATATGCATGTTTGTAAAATTTATACCCACGTGTCATGAGCAAAAAAATATGGCTCTTGCTACA